TCTCCAAAAGTAACTGTAAAGCTCCCAGCAAAAGCATCTGCTGTGGTCAAAGGGCTAGAGCACGGGGATCTAGGGGAGCTGCATCCTTTTCTTGGACAAAATCCCCAAAAAGTCGCATACCCCAAGATGTGAGTTTGAAGGCTGGACTACTCGGTGGGTAAAGAATTGGTTGGATGGTCACAGCCAGAGGGTAGTGGTAAATGGCTCTGTGTCCAGGTGAAAGCCCATGATGAGTAGTGTCCCCAGGATTCCATCTTGGGATTGATGCTCTTCAATATCTTTATCAATGACATAGACACACAGACAGTGGCATCGAGAGCACCCTCAGCAAAGCGATGCGGTTGACACAATAGAGGAAAAGGGTGCCTTCCAGAGGGACCTGGACAGGCTTGAAAAGTGGACGCACAAGAACCTAATGAGGTTCAACAAGGCCAAGCTGTCCTTGGGTTGAGGCTATTCCAGACTGGGAGGAGAACTTGAGAGCCACCACATGGAGAAGGACTTGGGGGTTCTGGTGGATGAAAAGCTGAACATGAGCCAGCAGTGTGCTCTTGCAGCCCAAAAGGCCAACTGTATCCTGGGCTGCATCAAAAGGAAAAAATCATACAAATTTGCCCTGAGGATGGATGATACCTCTTGCATGTAGAGAGCAGTGCCTAGGGGGACGCTGCTTTGGTCTCTCCCAGGATGAAGTGAATTACACTTCTGAGTTCTCCTTGAGCTGTAAAAGGAGCTGATGCACTTCAGACTTAAACACCTGCTCCTCATGTTTCAAAGTTAGAACAGATGAGTCATACCTGGAGTGGTTTGTGGAATTTTTAGCAGTTTAGAAAGTCTTTAGACTCTTTAGAAAGTCTATAGAAATGTTGGGACAGGACCCAGAGACGCTGTGTCTCAGCTTCAGATGTAAGTATCTTCCATGAAGAGAAAAGCACCACGTATTTGTAAATTGCTCTTTGCCTAATGTACAGAGAATTACATTGTAAGAAACCACATCGTTAAAAAGACATTGGTCTGTAAGCAGCAGAGCCTGCTTTCCTGTGGCTTGCATTTCATGACTGGATTATCTTACATTTAATGAGGATCGTTCTGACTAAAGGCTTTTCTCCTGTTAAAAAAGACACTGTCTCATGTGGATTTTCTGGTGTCTGATATTATATTTGGACTCAAGCTGCAGTTGTTTATGTTCTCCTATCTGAAAATGTTATTTGCCCATTTGGCAAGATGCTCTTCTCTGGAGACATGAAAGGGTTAAATCTCTCAACCTGCCCAGAAAAGTAGTGAGATTAGTCTTTGACTCTTCTATCATGCTTAAATTTGGCTGGAATGGACCAAGAAGATAAAAGACTATTCAGAATGAGATTTTTGAAATGTTTTATGTCTGTTCCACCTTTTAGTTTTAGAGGCTCAAGTAACAGCCATATGAAAGACAAACAAGTGCAGAGGCACCCCTGCAGTTACAGTTCTACCCCAAAAAATGTAAGTTAAAAAGCAGTTTTTCTGTGAAACGTTTTTCACAGAGACTGGGAATTTTTTAAATATTTCTCTCAAAATATTACAGAATTCACATGTTGGAAGCAAGAGCGTTGAATAATTCAGAAATCAGATTTTCAAAATCCTTCTCACCACGATCAGAGAACAAAAATAGATCATGTGGTTTGCACAGGAATTCTAGAATTTTCAACAAACTTGAGCTGAATGAGGTTGGACCAAAAAATTAATTGCAGAAACAACTCATAAGAACCTTTCAGGAATGGAACATGCTGAAGGGAATTCTCATTTATTTGCACACCAAGAAATCACAAATGAAGGAAAGGAGCAATATACGATGAATAAATTGCTCACTGAAATTTATTTTTCTTGTTCCTGAGTCATAAAAGCATGATTGTCATATCATGATTTTGGAGATACCTCAACTTTCTTACTTTGAATACAATTTAGACCAATGAGCTACCAATGCACTCCATGCTTATCAAATTAGGAGAATGCATTTCTAAATTCAATTACAGCCTCAGTGGAAATGGTTTCTCTGACTCTGGTAATCTTTGGAGAGGAATTATACACAGTCTATAAAGCTTTACATTTCAAAACCCAATTTTGAATGTTATTCAAGAGGTTAATTTAAGATTCATCTTCCAAAAGAGGAGTTAAATAAAACTGATAGAAGGCTGGAACTTGTCGAGTGGTTGAGAGGTTTATCAGCATGTGAGTATGAGTTCATTAGTTTTAATTAGTATAATCACTAATGTTGCATTAACAGTTTGGTGAGAAAAAGTAATTGCTCACACCCACTGTATTAGATTGGGAGATTAGAATTCATTTTACGAGGCAATTAGCATTTCAGGGATTTTTTAAAAGGCTTTTACGATCTGCCATTGCAGAGCTTCCTTCACCAAAAGAGTTTAAATTAACCATAACTTTCATCTTAATGGGATGCAAAAATTAATGTAGAATTAAGTGTGAACCAGTCCTCTGCAGCAATCCCAGAGCGATAAGTAGGCAGCTAAAGCCACAAACCTCGATTAGCTTATAATGACCTGCTTTATTTCCCAGACAATGATAGTCATTTATCTGTCCTCAATTCATTATCTTGTTGAAAAGTTTATATTCCTGAATTTTATACAGCAAAACAAATAAAAAATGAGGAAAGAAGGAAGCAGAACAGTACTATTAAAGTAATAACTCTCCAAAGAAAAAGCTGGAAAGTTCAATAACAGCATTTAAATAGTACATTATTCTTCATATCAGATGTCAGAGAACGTAAAAACACCTCGCTTTTGTGCTCAGGGTCTTGGGAAGAGCTATGCACTATCTGGATGTGGCCCTGGGCATCCTGCTCTGGGTGTTCCTGCTGGAGCACAGTTTGGAGCAGAGGGACCCAGAGAGCCCTGCCAGCCTCAGTTGTGCTCCGGTTCTATGATCCTGTGAATATGCAACAGCAATCGTAACCCTGGCCTGGCCATCACATCCCTCAGACAAATGGAGATTCTGAATGAACACCAAGAACTTTTATTGTCCTGGTTGGCAAGGAAACCCTGGCTGTCTAAGAGTTGGGATAGCTAACACAAGAGGTTCTCTTCCAAATTGTCTTGGAAAGCAAAAAATGCAAATTCTGGAGGTGGAAACTGATGGCAGCAGTAACAGAGAGCCTCAGAGACAGCATTACATGGACACACATCTCACAGGTTGCACCCTCTTGTTCTGCTTTTATTGGTTATGCAGATGTACTCATCCCAGGGTTATACCCACTTTGTATTTTTAAGCTTTTCCCTCACCAGTCCCTGTATAGAAACACCTTTCGAGAAAGATGGTGGCAAAATTACAGGGTCTCAAGCAGCAGGACATGTGTATGGGCAAGAGAAACCTTGACTTATCCCACCCAATAACTCTAAGCAATAAACCCATAGCAGACTGTAGTCACTACCATTTGGGTATTGGGAATTATAAGAACCTTTAGAAAACATACATTGAAACAAAATGTATGCATTTATATATATATATATAATCTTAATTCTTATGCACCTTACAAGCATCTCCAAAACAGTTCAGGAGATAATCTCCCCTCTACATGGAAGCATCTAAAATTGAGGTCTGACCAGGCAAATTGGATCTTAGCTTTAGTCTCTCTGGCAGCAGCCACTGCCACATTTAAGAGGTGAATTACTCCAGCCAAGGTCAGAATCAGCTGGTGGAAAGGGCTGCATCCCTCTATTGACTACAGAGACAGTCTAAGGTAACCAGGTTTCTGTCTCAGGTGGCTGAAGTAAATGCTTAAAATTAGGCTGGATGAATCATGATCATCATGTGGATGCCTGAGGGTTTGCCTATGCATGAAGTTATTGCAGCAGAGCCATTACTCTTCCCAAATACCATTACATGTGGACACTCTTTTGGTTGGATAAAACTTACTCATTTCTCTTCAACAATGCCTGCTTGACAGAAGAAGTGCAGTTTGCTTCCTAGTCATTACATGCTATCATTCTGCTAGAGCCTCTGCCTTCCCATTTAGCTGCCTTACTTTAATCCAAATTAACTTAGCATTCTAAATTTACCATCTATCTACCTTCAAGAGCCATTTAGGATTTATGGAGGAAAGTGCATCAGTTAAGCACAAATACATTGACCAGAAAAAAATGAAGGAACTGTATACAATAAAAACTGACTTTTATTTCACGAATTATGGGTGTTATAAAGCATATCATTTCAGAAGAAATGCCTGTATTTGCCAGTGTGTTTCATTAAAGCATAATAAAGCTGTACATATTTCATTTCCTTGTTCTGAGCTGCAAGAGCTGTAACCATATAAAATGCCCCATGCTGTCCTTGTTTTGTAGGGCTTTTTTTTCTTTTTAATCAGATTTTCCCCCTGAACTAATGAAATTGCTCTTGAAACACATACATCACTTTCATTTAAGGTGACTTATCATGGCTCAAATGGTTTCTCTCTTCTGGAGAACAAGGCATCTGCTAGCATATTTTGCTGTGCAAATCCAGGCTTGTATCACCTCTGATCTCAGTCTGGTTTAAGGAGTGTTGTGTTCTTGGGGCTCCCTCTGATGCTGTTTTAGTTGGGATATCAGGTGACTGGTGTCTGTGGGGTCTGCACCCTACATATCTGCACTGGTTCCTTGCTCACCTACTATTGTTAGCGATTTATCACTCTCTACAACTCCTTGACACGAGGTTGTCATGAGGTTGAAGTCAGTCTCTTTTCCCAGGTGACTACTGATAGGATGATAGTTAATGACCATAAGTTGTACCAGGAGAGGTTCAAGTTGGACATTAGGTAAAACAACTTCTCAGAGAGAGCGGTGAGGCACTGGCACAGACTACCCAGGGAGGTGGTAGAGTCACCGTCCCTGCAGGCTCAAAAAGCATGTAGATGTGGCACTGAGGGGCATGGGTCAGTGGGCATGGTGGCGATGGGTTGATGGTCAGAAAAGGTGATCTTAGAGGTCTTTTCCAGTCTTGATGATTCTATGATTTCTCCCTTCTCCTAGTATGCACCAACCCGTTGTGCAGTTGCACAGACATCCACGGAGCAAGGCAGCCTTCCTCCCTGCCATCACCATGAAGCAGTGCACGACCCCCAGCTGGTTCCCTGCATGTGTCCTCTCTTCTCCTGCCCATGGGAAGGGCACCTGGAGGTGGTGGTGTCCCACCTGAGGCAAACTCACCGCATCAACATCCTTCAGGGGGCAGAGATTGTCTTCCTGGCCACAGACATGCACCTGCCCGCACCTACGGACTGGATCATCATGCACTCTTGCCTTGGCCACCAGTTTTTGCTGGTTCTCAGGAAGCAGGAGAAGTACAAAGGTCACCCCCAGTTCTTTGCCACCATGATGCTGATCGGCACGCAAACCCAGGCTGACAACTTCACCTATCGGCTCGAGCTCAACAGGAACCAGAGGCGCCTCAAGTGGGAGGCAACTCCGAGGTCGGTGCTGGAGTGTGTAGACTCTATCATTTCAGATGGAGACTGCCTTGTGCTGAACACTTCCCTGGCTCAGCTCTTTGCTGATAATGGGAGCCTAGCAATAGGAATTGCAATAACCACCAGCAAAGTTCACAACAGTGAAGCTGAAATGTGAGGGAGAAGAGGAAGAGAAGGAGGAGGAGGAATAATGGTGCTCTAGCTGCTTTGTGAGAGCCAGAACTTGCAGACTTTTTGGGGGGGTCTCAGGTCTTTTATGGTATTTAGTACTGGTCCACAGTGGGCATTATGTAAACATCCCGTGGTTACGGTCTCTGTGTAATGTATTTACTGTTTTGTTAATACAATTTTATGAGAAATTTTAAAGAGGCTGATCAATTTATTGTTGCCTTTCAGCAACACTGGAGACTTTTGGCTTGATGCTGCTCTCCTGGAAAGTACACCAGGATGATTCACAAAATCCTTTGGTTTGAGAATGCCACTTCTTCCATTGCTTGCCTAATTGCTAGGTATTGAGAAGTCCTGCATGTCTGGTAAACATAAAGTATTCCACTAAGGTACAAGAACACTCAATTTTCAATAAATTCCTTGATCACTGATTCAGGAGCAGCTTCAGAGAAGCTGATGTACTGCACTGAGCTGACTGCAAGTGGGCTGGTTTGCAAAAGGCCTCAGACAACCAGAGGAAGCCTGTGCCTCCCCTCCCACCTATATTTTGAAATGTTTACTTATCTCCCCATGTTCCCCATTTTCCTCATCGGCAACAGAGACGTAATATTTATACTGGTTACAACCAAACCCCAGGGAGTTTGTGGTTTCATAGTTCCCTTTGGCTCCTGGGGAGGTAAAGCTCTCCAGACGGACTTTGAACACTGTAGAAGAGAAGTTACTTCCTCAGCTGAGACATGGCCTGGGAAGCCTCATCTTGCATTAAATAAATCACAACATTTAATGAGAAGTCACCATGAGTATGGTTAAATCTCACTCACTTCTCATGATGGGGAACAAAAGACTTGCCAGGGTAGACATGATATCCATAATAAAAAATCAGAGTATTCACCTTTTAGCTACTATTTCCTCATGTATTCAAAAAGAGATTTTCAGAAAATTAAATTTAGGATAGCCCTAAATTTGTACTAATCTATCTACTGAATTCTTTACCCCTTAGCCCCGCAGCTTGTGCAGACAGGCATTGACTTGAAACAACACAGCTGGAATCAAAGAATCATAGACTGGCTTAGGTTGGAAGGGACTTCAAAATCCCACCCAGTTCCAACTCCCTGCTGTGGGCAGGGGTACCACTCACCTGATCAAACTGCTCAGAGCACCATCCAGCCTGGCCTTGAACATCTCCAGGGGTGGGGCATCCACATCTTCTCTGGACAAACTTTTCCCATGCAGCTGGGAATATCTGCTTGTAAATTGGCCAAGAGATTTGTAATGTATTGCTTTAAAAATAACCTTATTTTTTTTCTTCTATATACTTGGGTGTGGGGGTGGTCCCTTTCTTCTGCTGAGCGTACTTCACAGACAGCAGTGGTCACAGAAGATCCTCTCTTAGGTGTCTCCTTGGGGAGCACCAGAGGGAGGTGCTGGCCATCTCCCAGTGCTCGGCCTGGCTGCTGCTGAATGCTTTTCTGAGAAGCAGCCGGTGGGTTGTGTCAGCTAGTAGCAGCAGAGGCTGAGGCTACTTGCCTGAGTCCCATGGAAAACTAAGGAATGAGAAAAATGAGCTAAGGACAAGCTTTCCGCATTTCATGAGGCATCTTAGATAGCCAGCTTTGGGTAGGAAAAGCCATGGTGCTAATTTCCACCACCTGCTGCTCCCCTGGAAATTTCTGAAAATTGTGCACGAATAAAGCAAATTGCAGATTTCCAATGAATGCTGGTAATGCATCTTTTGAGTCACCTCATGTCCTCACTTGGGCTTTCACAGCTGGCTGCTGCTCAGAGAGGAGCCAAGACCTCTTCAGCAGGCTGCTCATGACCACAAAGGAATGGAGGCTGAGATCTCAAGAAGCTCAGTCTGGTATTCAGTACATATATGCAGGGATATACTTACACAGCTCTTCTGTCTCCACATTTTCCAGGGCCATTCTGGTTTGCAGCACTTTACCAAAATGCACAGCCTTCAGAGTGGCTTGCTGTTTCCCTGCAATGTTAAATATTCAGAACCAGCAACTGCTGCCCTTTCCCTAAATGATGGTAATAAATAAATCATTGGCACTTTTGTGAACTGAAACTTCTCCAGCTCCTCCGGCAAATATTCTGCTGCTGAACTAAAAGAAAAAGCAATAAAGCTTCAAAAAAACCAAAAAGCAAAAAAAAAAAAAAAAAAAAAAAAAAACCCAGTTTCTCTATCCTAAACTTCCTGAACTCTTTGTACACAGTGGAAGAGATCTAACACAGTACTGCTTTTGTTGTCTGATCACAACCTGCTCTGCAGGAGGGATATTCCTCAGGTATTCACATATTTCAGATTACTTCCCTCCAGCTGGCATCTTTGGCTCTTGAAATATCTACTGAAATTAAAAGTACACTGTTGGTATTTTCTGGGCATGATCTCAGCCAGAGCACCGTTACATTCCTGTCAGGAGGAATGTGACAGCAGCAGTTCTCTGGGATGGGCATTTCCATCTCTTGCCATTTCTTGATTTTCTGATTCCTACAGTGCTGGAGGCACTGTGGATATCTGACTTCCACATCACAGATCTCCTCACATCTCACATGTCCTTCTACCAGAGCCTTCACACAACCAAACACAGTTCAGCTTTCTTATTGCTTTCCACGCCCTCCCTATTTTCTGGTGGAAATCCTTTCAAGCCCTCTCTCAGACTCTCAGCCTTGGCTTTCCCTTTCATGGCCTGTGGTGCTGCTAGACTCCTCCTGCTCTGCCTTATGGGTGCCCATACTTAAATCTTTCTTACTGCTCTCTATGAGGTAATGGCTTTAAGTCATGCCAGAGGAGGTTCAGGTTGGGTATTACGAAACATTTCTTCTCAGAACAACTGGTGAGGCATTGTAACAGGCTGCCCAGGGAGGTGGTGCAGTCATCATCCGTAGAGGTGTTCAAAAACCGTGCGGATGTGGCACTGAGGGACATAATTAGTAAGCATGGTGAGGATGGGCTGATGGTTGGACTGGATGATCCTAGAGGTCTTTTGCAACTTTAATGATTTTATGATTCTATGAGAACCAAAAATCACACTTAATAAGCATTTCCACATAAAATTCGAAAGTTTAAGGGTCTATTTAAGGACTTTCTTGTATGGAAGACATTCTAATTCCCTCATAATAAAAGCCTATGAACAACTCTTTACTGCCATAAAGCAAAGGTGAAGCAAATATTCTACGTGATGGAACATAAATTCTGAAATGCTGGTGAGTAGGATCAACAATGAATTTGGTTTACACGCATTATTACAGTGCTCATAATATAGAGCTTTTTACAGCTATCTGATCATGGATACAAGGCAGCTGTAATTTGGTTTCCAAAATGAGTTTCTGAATTTTTAGATTCTAGAGTTAATTTTATGCTCTGATATTTTGTATCTTTTTGATGCATTATATCCAGTCACTCCAGACACCTTGAAAAAAGTGGAAAACACAGCCCTACGTCTCTGTGAAGTAAGGACGTAAATTTATTTCAGTACAGAAGAAAATGCTTAAAATGTTGCTACAAAGGTGTTGCAAAGTTCTGATTTCTTACCTACCTGACAGCAAAAATCTTTGTTTATTTTCATAGAATCATAGAAACTCCAAGGTTGGAAAAGAACCACAAGATCACCCAGTCCAACCATCCAACCAATAGTTCTCACTGAACCATCCCTCAACACAACATCCAGATGTTCCTCGAACACCTCCAGGGTCAATGACTCCATCACCTCCCTGGGCAGCCCATTCCAATGCCTCACCACTCTTTCAGAGTAGTATTTTCTAACGTTCAGCCTGAATCTCCACTGGCGCAGCTTGAAGCCATTCCTTCTAGTCCTTATATTTTATATTTTATTTTTAAATAGACAAAATTGAGTATATTTAAAGTTTTTGCATATCTGTGCTCATGAACAGACTTTCTTGTGCCCAAATTAGTAAACTGCAACAATTTCATCAGGCTGAGCCAGCTGGATTGCCTCCAGACCCTACAGAAATCCTACTTTGGTTCTTCTGCACTATCCATCAGACTCAGTGTGAATGTTAATGCCAGGTCTACAGTAAAATAGGATTAGTGCTTTTAGCTCAATCCCATTATGAATTAAGCTCACATCATATATCCATGACTCCTTATAAATCAGCTGAAGCATTCTGGTGCTCATCATCTTGAAGATGACAAAGGATCTTGTATGCGAGCTAACAGTGCCAGCCGGAGGGTTTGCTGAGAAGTAGGGCAGTAGTCCCCTTCCCACTGGACTGTGATTTCATATCCTACATTTCAAACTATCTTTTATGAATACAGGCCAGTAAGCTATTAAAGAAAGGAGAGGTGGTAAATTCTGAAAAATGAAAAGGTTATAATAAAACGAATGGGTAACAATAAATTGCTGGGTACTGCTACATGACTCTCTTTTGGGTAACAGAGGAATGAAGGCTGATCGACAATACTGTACTATGGGTGATTTATCTGAATTCCCAGCCTATAACACACTTGAAAAACACTTTGATGGGAGAGTCAGAACAGACACAGAGAAGAACTTCTGCTCCAGCTGGATCACAACGCCTTTTCCCAGTGGAGCTGCAACTTGTAAACAGTCAGACACAAGAAAATGGTTCTTTTTTGTTTGCTTTTAGATTTAATTAGTCCTGAGTGCTCACACCAGCTGAGCAAAGGGCAAAAAGCTCTTCACCTCTACCCCCAAGGTGGGCAAATTGCCCTAAAAAATCTTTGGCACAACACTAGATCACACCAATACCTCATATCCTTGATGAGGACTGTGCTCACTAAGACATTATTTCCAAGGGAGGCAAATGGGAAACACCAATTACAAAGGCTGCTGTCCTTCAGATAGAATGAGCTCTCTATCTTCCAAATACTGAAAATCCTCCTGAGACATTTTCTATCTGAATACATCACTTAATCTTGTAGAAAGCCCCAGGACTGAAGGGTGCGTGCAGTAAGAAATTGCATCAAGTAACCATACTGAAGATAAATGGCTTTGAACTTTCATGGCAACAATGAAGAACTACCTGAACATCCATGCAGCACAGGCCAAAAAAATCAAGGCTTTTAGACAAAGAAATAAACTTATTCAAACAAAAACTGAAATGTGGGGCAGAGTCTTAAAAGCACTTTCTTTATTGCCACAGTCT